ATAAAAGAGTTTAGCAGCAGATTCACTTTTGTATTTCCACCTACAGCCTATGTAGGATAAGCTTCAGGGTGCTTTGTTTACATTAGATGTGGACCTGCATTTTCAGTACCACTGAAATAAATTCTTTTAAACTACTCCAGTCGATGTAGTTCAACCTTTTCTCTGTTGTATTTCATGTTTTTGCAATAAGTCCCTTTAAACAATTTCTTATAATGTAACTTGTAAAATTAGTCGCCTGCTTCTTAAGGTCCTGTCTAGAAAATGAGAACAAATATAAAGGTTGCTATTAGGTTTTAGAGATGAAAAAGTGGAAAGTAGCAGGTTTTCATTCATTCATTTTGAACTCAATCTGTCAGGAAAACTCAGCCAACAACTGGGGAGTCAACCGGTAAAAAATAAAAAAAAAATAATCCCACCACCCACGCCTCGACTCTCTTATAACCTCAGCGTGACTGTCTTAAAGTCCACTAAGAGCACGTTTCTGATGAGCCAGAAGGTACAGAGTATAAAATATAGATGCAGATAAAGAAAAAAGGAGATAATGGTGTTCTCCCGGCCGAACAGAAACCATTAACCCCTTCCTATTATCAGGCAAATTAGCCCTAAATCACAGCGCACCGTGCCCGGCTGCCCGGCTAATTTAACGGTTTACACACAAAGTGAAAAAAAAAACTCACTTGTAAATCCCCAGAATGTTGTATTAGAAATCTTCCGTCACCGGGTCGCACCGTCTCGTGTATCCAGTAAACTCTGCTCTCCGCTCAGACCTGCTCCGCTATGTCGCCCTACTCCTCGGTGGGATTTTTTTTTTTCTTTCCTTTTTTTTTCTGACGATAAACTTGCCGAGCCCAGCCAGGCTATTGTTAGCCTAGTGCAAAGAAAGCCCCGCCCCCTCAAACGGAATTCCAGACACACCATTGGGCAGTCCTCGACCACTTCCCCTTCCCATTGGCTAATTTAGACGCCCGTTTAAAGTCCAGGGCGGGTCCCAGGTCGCCGGCAAGAAAGCACGAGCGGTGGTGCGTTCAAAGTCGTGACGAAATGTTAGAAATTCTAGCTTCCCTTTTGATTTGAAACTTGTGCGTTGCGTTCTAGAACTGACTACATAATGAAGATTGAATAAACTGCAATGTAGGAACTTTTCTTTTGCTCCTCACTGAATCGGAGCAGGTAAAACGACAGCTAAAGCCGATGTTGGTGTATATTTAATATACTTCTAATTGCTATTTCAGTCTTTCTATCTTTCTAATTACTTCTCTCCCTGTTTTTCTCTCTCTCTATTTTCTCTTCACAAAAAAAAAAAAAACATAATGGTGTGGAGAGGATGGCTATAAGGGGAGAAGGGAGGCCATCCAAAAAAAATAAAATAAAATAAACGACAACTAAAACCGAAACGATATAATCGAAATATGTTAGAAATTACAAACACGACTATTTTTATTAGGTAAAACTGTTTTAAAAGACACAACTCAGAAAGTTTAATAAAAAATTATAAAATTATAGAATTAATATTTATCCACAGTTAGGTCTGTTTATATTTTTTCTTTCTTTTTTAAAATTTAAATGTATGAACTTTTTCAAAAGGTTGACTGATTCTGCTTTATGTTAATAATTAAATCCAGATTTTTAGCAACATAAATCAAGAGTTTGTAGGTGGCGACATCTAGTGGTCAGAGTGAGAAATGCATGCCCAATAAATAAATAAATAAATATGTTTCTATTATGAAAATTATATAAATACGCCCCCCCACCCCATTTTTCAGACTTTCAAAGTAACATTTTGACATATGAATAAATAAGGGCTAGTCCTGCAGAATGTTAGTAAAATATATTTAATATGTCAATGAAGTCGTTGTACTTCTTCATTAATAACAGGGTTACCAGAGATTTGTACAAACAATTGTAACAAAAGCTGCGAAAGAGAGACTGCTGGGTCTTTAAATCACTGCTTAGACCTTTTTTTGTTTTTTGACCCAAAAATCTGTTTTTCATATTGCATCTATATGCATTCATTTGACTTTTTTTGTATTATTTTAACATTTTGTTTGACTAAAACTCCACCTTTCTTTTATGGTGTAAATAAATAAATAAATAAATAAATAAATAAATAAATAAATAAATAAATAAATAAATAAATAAATAAATATTTTCTGTTTTGGTCAAAGCCAGAAATATCCTCTGGAGCCTTCAAAAATTCTGTTGTGCACTAAAACTAAAAGTTCAGTTTCAAGGTTTTTACTATGCAAATGCTTAAAAGTGGTCATTGGCCCCACTGGCCCCTCTAGTGGTGCCCCTATACAAACCAACCCAGTTTTAGTTATCTAAACAAACAGCAGGATTTAGTGCGTGACTGCAGGAAATTATGGACATTATGAAGGGCGATGAGACCAACCTACAGTTTTATTTATTTGCTTTTAGTTTATTTCTTCTGTTTGAATGTTGAAGTTTAAGGTTGACAGAAAAATGATAGTCTGTTTGTAAAAACATTTTTAAAAGAGGAGAAGAACAGAAAACTGATGAAGAGGAGGAGAAAGAGCCGCAGTCACTTCCGCACCATGTGAGCCACCGGGACTGAAGCTCATTTGCTGCCGGATGGATCCGTCCTCCACCCGGACAGAGAGGATCATCAGCTCCCCGGCTTCGGTGCGCTCAGGCTGGACACAGAGATGCGTCGCCCCGCCGACATGGATGCGGACGTGGCGGTGTCCCTGTCGGTGCTCGCGGGGCTCGTGGTGATGAGCGAGGCGACCCGCAGGGTCCTGATCCGGGCCCTCGCTCACTCCGGGCTCTCCGTGGACGCGGCGGAGCTCGTGTCCACCTTCCAGCTGTGCTGCTGCGCGCACGAGCTGAGGCTGCTGTCCGAGGTGGGCGGGATCCACCCTCGCCTCGCGCTCGCCTTCACCTACCTGGTGTCGGTGGTCCACGGGCTCACCTTCAGGGGGGCCATCGGGAACCCCTGCGGTGCGCTGGAGCGCGCGTACCACGCCACGCTCCCCGGCGGCCGCGCGCTGCGGCGGATCGCGTGCCAGTTTGCCGCGGCTGCTGTTGCGCGAGCCGCCGCGCTGCAGGTGTGGAGCATCGGGCTGTCGCGGCTGCACGCGCGGCACAGGCTGCTGGGCTTCCGGTGCGTCAGCCCGGTTCGCGGCGGCTCTCTGCACGAGGCTGCCGCAGTGGAGCTCGCGTGCGCCTTCGCGGTTCAGACTGTGATCACGCACACGCAATCGGTAAAGGAGAAGTACCGCGTGCACGCTGTGGCTGCGATCACCACAGCAGTAGTTTATGCAGGTATAATAAGTTTTCATCACCTTTAATTCCGTCCGATCACGTGACCTACCTTGGCTCACCTGTTGTGTGCAGGTGGCGGTGTGACAGGAGCTGTGTTTAACCCAGCCGTGGCCTTCTCCACGCACTTTCACTGCAGTGGAAACTCTTTCATGGAGTACTGCTTCGTCTACTGGCTCGGTCCATTTCTGGGTAAGATCAGCTGACACGAATAAACAGCTAAAAGGAGCAAAACACTAAAATCTACAAGCAGCAAAACTCTAAGGGTCAAACTATTAACTTCAATATAAAATGAACATCAGCTAAAAGTAGAAAAACAATCATTAAAAGTTAAAGGAAGCACAATACTAGCTAAAAGGACCTAAATTAGCTAAAAGTAGCAAAACTAGTTAAAAGCTAAATAGGGTTCAACATTAACTAAAAGTAGCTAAACAATAACTAAAAGCTAAAAGGAGCAAAACACTAACTAAAAGGAGCTAACATTAGCTAAAAGTAGCAAAACTAGCTGGAAGCTAAATGGGGTTAAACATAAGCTAAAATTAGCAAAACAGTAACTAAAAGCTAAAAGAATCAAAACACTAGCTAAAAGCTAAAATAAGCAAAACATTAACTAAAACAATCAAAAAACAACTATAAGCTAAAAGGAGCAACACTAGCTAAAATAATCAAAACATTAAGTACAATGTAAACTAAAGAAATCAAAATAGCCAAAATTAGCACAACAATAGCTAAATGCTTAAAATAAGCAAAAATAATAAAGGCTAAACGTTAAAATAAGCAAAACAACTAAAAGCTGCAGTCATCAGCTAAATGCTAAAAGAGCCAAAACAAACACATATATATATGAAGTATATATAAAGGGTAATAAATGAGCATTTATTCTTTCAACAGGATTAATTTCATTAAAATAAAACAACAGGTAAAAAGTTTAACAACCACTTGTACTTTTTAATAATAATAATTCTTATTAGTCTTTTATTATAATCGTAGATATTTTCTAATAAAGACATTTCCCTCTCTTGTTTTTCTGGTTTCAGGTACGATGTGTTCAGTTCTGCTGTTTGATAGATTCTCTCCTGGGGTCCCTCCACCACAGAAGAAGAAGACATGAAGAGATTGAACTCAGAGGATGTTACTGACAGACTTTCACCACACAGCTGCAACAGAAACACTGTTACGACCATTTCAAAGAACAATATAGATTTATTATTTTATTATGAAACACAAACATCAAGGTTAAAGCACAAACAACAAAAAACTAAACTTATATTTAACAATCAAAGGCTAAATACCTGAGTGAAACTCATCAATTATAAAACAAGTTTGCATCTTTTATTTCAGGTTATACATTTGTGCGATTTTATTTGATAGAAAAACCTTAATGGGTGTAAAATAATGTGAAGACTTTGATCCTGTTTATGTCAAATTCTGCAACAAAAGCCTGGATTTTCAGCACATCTTCATTTCTGCAGGTTTATTTGGTGCCTTTTAGGTTCTTATTAAAGAGAAAAACTGAAGAACTCTTATTTCCTGGATAAAAGTTTCTTTTCAAAGTTCTGTCATCACAAACCTAAAACAATGATTATTTAAAACATTAAAATATTTTTAAGATAATTAGTTAAAATGTGTTTGAGATTAAATGTTTTGTAGTGGTAACCCATTTATTCAGAAATAGCTCTGCTTATCACTAAACACCAAAAAGTCATGTTGTCAGAATTTAGTTTTTGAATTTTTGAGAAAAACATGACTTAAATCACGTTTAAACCAAAGTAAAGCAAACATCAGTTGTTTAACTGCCACCATAAGATGAATGTCTAAATTTTGTGTTAGCAAAATATCCCATGAACCACTGAGCAGATTTTACTGAAACTTGGATGTCCAGTTTAACAGACTCATTTTTGGACTCAAACTTATTCAAGACCTGACCTGTGCTGGAAAATGAGTCAAAAAGAGGAATTTTTCATTACTGATTTAATTAATTTCAAATTCTTTATCTTAAAAGCTTCAAAATGATCCACCGTTTGCTAAAGTTTGGTGATTTATCACCTGGTAAGGAGGTTTTTGTTTAGGAAAACTAGCTGTTGAACGTATGCAGGGGTTTCCTGCCTCTACGGCAACAAAAAAGGGTCAATTTCAAAAAACTACAAAAACTTTTGTTTATTGACAATTTCTTACAAACACATTTGTTTATCAGCAAAAAACAAATAGAAAAATTGGTCTTTAGGTAAAAATAACTAAATGTTTTGTTATTACAGTCGACAGCAGCTCCGTTTGTTATCTGACTTGATAAATGTGCCGAAGAGAAGCTGCGATCAGTGAGCTTTAACACGACACACACGGACCAGCTTCAGGAGGATGACTCAGCATGTGGACAAGGAACACAAACGTCCTGACGAAGGATAAGAGCTTAAATAAATGGCATCCTCGCTGATCCTTCGGCGCTTTGGTCAGCCACAGAGATGACGTCCTCCTACAGAGAGTTAAAAAATAAACCATTTTAAGACTAAATGCACTGATGTTTCAGTGTTGTGAGTGCTGAGTCAGCATTCCTCTGAAAACTTCAGCTGTTCATATTTCAGCCGAAGGTTGCTGGGACCTTCGGTTTATGTGAATTTTTACAATTTCAAAATATTTCACTTTATTTAAAAATCTTTTCTCCACAAAAATACATCAAGTTCAGTTTCTTCAAAAGCATTTTTCTTTTTCAAATCCGGCTCAGTAAACTGACTTTTGTTTTCTTATGCTACTTTTAGCTACTATTCAGCTAATGTAAGCTTTGATCTAGACTTTTGCTAATTTTAACTACAACTTTGCCACTTTGACCTGGGACTTCAGCTGTTCTCCTACTTATAGCTTTTATCAGCCCATGCTACTTTCAGCTCTTAGCTAGCATTTGGCTACTTTTAGATTTATCTCCATCCTGCTACTTTTAGCCAGATACCATTCTGTTACACAAGCCTATAGCCAAGCTTTTGCTACATTAGCTTTTAGAAAACATTTTGCTACAAGAGCATCTAACTAGCGTTTTGCTAATTTTAGCAAACCTTTTACATTATTAGCTTCTAGCCATTAAGCTACTTTTAGCTAACTTATTGCTACACTAGTGTTTAGCCAAGCTTTTATAACATTAGCTTCTAGCCAGCCTTTTACTACTTTAGCTTTTCACTAGCCTTATGCTACATTTAGCTAGTCTGTGCTACTTTTAGCTTTCACCCACTTCTGTTTTAAGCAAATCTACCATTTCAGCTGTGATTATCTGACAGAAACTTATGATAAATTTCAGCTTTATTTACAGTTTGTTGTTAAATGTGGACGTTACTAAACATGAAACAATCGACAAATATTAAAGTGATTAAAATAATTAAAGCGTCACTCTTCGGATGCATTTCGAAGCTTGTTTTAAAACATCTGAAACCATGAGGTAGCTGACGTGTTAGTAAAATAATTCAGACTATTTAGACAGAAAACAAACAAACAAAAACAACCCGACCCACACTCACTAGTGCTCGACGTCAGCATCCTCAAACTGTCCGGCCTCCATCGCTGCAGCGTCCACTTCCATCCCGTCTGTAAGAAGACAGACAGTTCAGGTGGTTTTACAAAACAATATATTGTTATGTGACATTATCAACTGTAGCAATAATAATAGAATTAAAATAATAATATTAAAAATTTAAAAAAAAATTTAAATTACTCTGCAAGGCTATAAAAATGAAATAAGATAAAAATAAGATACGGTGCAGGAAAAAAATGACAAGGAAAACAGTCATGAGAGCCGCTCAAACCTTCAAACTCAGCCTTGGTTTCTTCGGTCCTCACTCCAGCCATGTGGTACTGCTGGCTGACAGACTGGGCCAGCATCCCCTCCAGCCTCTCCAGCGTGGCCTGGCCCTCCTGCGTGAGCGCCGACAGGCCCTCGTCACACGTGTAGAAGGTCGGGATGTCAGCGTGACCGTGCTCTGGACGGACGGAGAAAAATAGTTACAACAAAAGTTCTCATATTTTTTAAAAATGCTAAATTTCTGCAGCTGAACCAACAACTAAAACTAGCTTCAGAATTAGCTTTTGTTGAGATCTGAAAACATCCAACAAACTTTCTGTTTTTGTGTCAACGCAGTGATAAATTCTGGTGGTCTTACCGGCTTCTGCAATCAGGTCCAAATGATCAGTCCATGAAGGGACAAACAAACAGGAGAGAAGAAAAAGTCAATATATTTTTTAGATTTACTCCATAAAATGTGTTGAACTGAGTTAAAACAGCTCTGATACTTTTAGCTAGCCTGTTGCTACATTAGATGTTAGCTAACCTTGTGCTATTTTACCTTTCAGCAAGCTTTTTGATACGCTGAGCTCCTACATATATTCTTGCTACTTTGGCTTTAGCAAGCCTTTTACTACTTTAGCATATAGCCAACTATGGCTACTTTTAGCTAGCCTACTGCTACATCAGATTTAATCCAGCCTTTTACTACTTTAAGCTAGTCTACTGCTACATTACATTTTAGGCAGTCTTTTATAACTTTAGCTTTTAGCCAGCCTTTTGCTACATTAGCTTATGACCAGCCTTTCAGTTCGTTTATCTCACCTACTGATACGTTAGCTTTTAGCCAGCCTTTTACAGCAATAGCTTATAACCAGCTTTTGCTTCTTTTAGCTAGCTAGCTTACTACTACAGTAGATTTTCACTGGGGTTGAACAATTTTGGAATATAATCTAATTGCAATTTTTAATCTATAAATTGCGATTTAACATGTGATTATTTTTAACATATTCTCAAGTATTTTTCAACAAACAGAAGCAATAAATCTGTTTTATAATAAACAAAGTAAGATTGATTTAAAGCATAGATTAAAATAAAGCTAACATATCTGTAGCTTTACCTTTACACCATTTCAGTTTTTCTTGTTTCATGAAACATGATTAGACATGTTAAGTGAACTTCCTAAACACTGTCTGAACTTCAAAGGACAGTCTATAAATAAATAGAAAAAAATATATATAAATATAAAAAAAGCTTACTGCTTTCCAGCCAGTAACACCACGAAAAAATAAAGTGCTAAAAACATTAAGAGAATAAAAATCTGCTTTAACCAACTTGTAATTTTCTAGGAAAATCAAACTCTGAGCTATAGGAGAGATGTTAAAGAGAAAAAAAGTGAAGAAAAACACTAAATATGTTTAAAACTGCAAATAAATTTAATGAAATAAAAAATAATTTTATGACTTCAATGCTTACATCCACATTACATAAATTAAATTAGTGATAATCTTAAATTTAATCTGCAGATTGTTAGATATCAGGAGGCACAGGGAGGACGAGGTGAAACTGATCTGTGAGTCAAACAGCTGAGTCCAGAGATTTATTTTAGAGAGACAGTACCAGAGAAAAACATTACAGTAAATATTACATCCCGCTTTAAAAACAAGGCAGGAGCAGTGGCAGCTTTCCGCATGCAAGATTCATCTGCAGCGGTCTCCTCTCAGCTGCCGGGGAGGGGGGGGGGTCGCTAGATGGGTCTAAAAAGCCACTAGATCTAGTGACAATGTGGCTAAGATGGAAACACTGCTCTGCTCGGCTCACTCCCAAGTCATGTGACCAGTCAAATCACAGTATGTGCAGTTAGAAAATCTCGTTTTAACATATCGCGAGATTATCGCAAATGCAATTAATCGTTCAGCCCTAATTTTCACCATTCTTTAATAACTTTAGCTTTTAGCTAGTCTTTTACTATTTTTAGTCCTTAGTCAGCTATTTAGATACTTTAATCTTTAGACAGCCTTTTACTTTTTTAGAATTTAGCTTTGAATCACCAGCTGATGGCTCAGTTTTATTAGAAAATGGTGAAAATTTTTAACAATTTCAATAAATCTAACATTTACCTGAGTCAATCATAATGCATTAATCAGAACAATAATTGTATTTGTTTCTGATAATTTTTGTTGCTCTCGCATGTGTTTTTGCTCACCAGCCTCCTCCACGTCATACTCCTCTCCTTCGAAGTCGTTATCAGAGTCTTCGTCTTCAGGGTCAGGGTGCAGGGCCTGGCACTCGCACATCGCTGAGAACATGGATTCCACTGTGTGGGAGACGTAGAATATAAAGCCACGTTTCTTGTGTTTAATGTAAAGTTAATGAGGAAATCCTCAGTGTGGCCACTCACGTGCCATTTTGTCGCCGGGCACAAACCGAATCTCTGTAATCGGGCCCTCGCCATCGTCACCGTCCCCTTCACTGCTGCTGCCATCATCATCGTCGTCAGCTGCTTTCTCAGCCATTTCGGCCTCGTTTTCATCTGTGATAAATAAATAAATAAAACTCATATTTGACCTGCATGTCAAAACATACAAAGAAGACACATTTAACACAAAACACAAGCTAAAGTAAAGCAGCTTTTATTAAGTAAACAGGAGGTATTTGGGTGTGGGCGGAGTTTGGGAAACCTTGATTGGTCGGATTAACTTGGGCACTAACAGCAGGTGCTTTTCCATCAAGAAAAAACTAATTGTGTCAAGTTAAAAGATTCAAATGTGTTGTAGCTTTCATAATAAAAGCTTAAACTTTAATAACTACCACGCAGCAACCTGCTAATTGAAAGAAAACCTGAAACAAAATTGAAATGACCTTAGAATTAACGAATAAGCACATTATATTTTATCAATAAAGAATTTTATTACATTAGACAAACTATTTTGCACAACACTAATTTTATTTTGAAAGGAACATGCTACAATTAGCTTCGGAATCGCTGTTTTTCACTGAGGATTAATCAGCTTTTCCCTAAGACATTTATTTGTTTATCTTTTGCTGTGCACTGACACAAAATAACCGTACATTGAAGCATCTCTCATGAACACACGCCGACAAAAACACTAATGTATTCAAGCTAATGCTAGCTATGTTAGCATGCAGGCAGCTAGCCTACTGAGTGATTATGTTTTTGTCACTTGTGTCCGGTCAGCAAAGAAGAATAAAGTTATTTACAACAGGTCAGAAGCAAGTTAAGTCTGATATCTGATATTGGGACAAACGCATTCATCTCGTACCGCTGAGTTTGCCGTTCACCATGACGTACAGGTGCTCCTGGGGGTAGGCGCTGACGTCTCTGGAGATGGCGTGCAGACCGATGGAGGGATACTCGAGCGAGAAACCCATCCCTGATCCATCGAACCAGGACAGGCGCCTGAAGGAAACACATAGCCGACAAGTGCCAACCCGACTCAAGATGGATGTCTTAGAAAACCAAAAACTGTGTTGAAGTTTCTTGTAGTAGCTGAGAGTCACCTCCAACAGCTCAGGCGACATCTAAAAATATGCTTTAGCTCATCCATCCAATATAACCACCTTAACTGTTACTTATTATTGTTGCCTTGTGCATTAGCGTAACTCCAATATGTATTAAATATCGACCTGAACAATAAACCCACTGTTTACAGGTGAAAACACGCGCCACGTGCATCACTTACGTTTCGGCAACGTAGAGCGTGCCGCAGCCCAACTTCTGTCCGTCCAGCACGGCCGTGGTGTCGGACTGCTCGTGTCGAACGCCCTCGGTGGGAGGATGGAGGTTTTTCAACAGAACCATCGTCCGCGTCTGCAGCGAAACGAACTGCGGGCCCGACGGGAACAAACAGAAAACACGACGTAAACAAGAAGCGGTGACCCACTTCGTGACACAAATCTGGCTAATTTAGCACGAGACAACTCCTGAGGAAATAATACGCGGCTAAGGAGGCGGCTAAACGATCGATCGCTCTTTGCCCTTCTTCTGCTACAATCTAAAAATCAGAACGAGACGCTCGGAGAATAAACAAAGACGGTAGTAAATTTGAAAATTGTGCTCAGTTAGCAAACTATGGCTCCTGCCGCTCCTCGATGACGTCAAGCTACAGCTACGTCAGAAAAATCACGTGACTACTACAAGCTAAGTGGATAGCATAGAAATGACTACGTTTGTACGTAAATGTAACATTCACGTACGTATTTTTGCGTAATTACTTTACGCTTTGATTGGTTCTCTAGTGACATAAAGTGGCCATAGCCTGTAACTGCATCTCTTTGGTTTCTTTTAAGTTTATATGCTTTTCTGCAAAGTATGAATTTTGATTATTGTTATTGTCTTTAGAAAATACAGTGCAACATTGATTAAACCAAAAAAATTTCAGAATTCGCTTTGCAAAAAGCGTACATTCAATCCATAATTAGTTTCTGAAAGTTTTATTTAAATGCCTAAAACCTTAGCATTAATTGTTACAATCATTTCCAATGGTGGAGAAAGTACTCAAACACTGTACTTAAGTAAAATTACAAATAAACAGACAAAGATATACTCTAGTAAAAGTACATTAACATTTTTACTTGAGTAAACGTAAGAACGGTAAGTACTTGCTTTTAAAAATACTTAAAGTATTAAAAGTAAAAGTACTTGCTTAAAGTATTCCATAAAGGTCTACATCATGAAGTGTGACTATAGTGTGTGTGTGTATATATATNCTGGTGGACTATGTGTGAAATGCCAGAATTCATATGATGCTGCTACAGCTGATACACACACACACACATATATATTATATATATATGTATATATATATATAATGCATCAGAAGCTGTAAATTCGCCACAAACGTCCTTTATCAAATCTCAACAAGTCGTTTTTACCAGTTAACCAGTCAAACTTGAATAAGTCTTTTAAGTAAGGCCATGAGTGGCGCGTTTCCTCCGTGATGGAATCCATTTTGGGCCTGTTAGTGGTGCTGCTGATCCAGCAGGTGATACAGAATCTCTCTGCTTTTCATGAAGGAGGGTCTAATGGTACTTTCCAGCTTTGCAGTGGTTCAGTGGACCAATTACAGCAATTCCCTTTTCGCCATTGATTACTTTCAAACTAAAAAAAAATTGTAATGCAATGTGACATGAATGTAATTTTTACTTCAACGCATCACAGAAATGTAGCAGAGTAGAAAGTACAGATACTTAATGTAAAATGCAGTGGAGTAAAAGTCAAAAGTACCCATGATGAAATCTACTTAAGTAAAATACATACATGAAAAATTAGTCACCCCTTTTGCCTTTAGCAGCAGGCAAAAAAAACATTATAATAAAGATTTACATCTTTGTTTATATTTTATTTGATCTGTAACAATTCAATAAATAAATGTTCGAACACACATTCATCATTTTAACAGGAGGTGCTGCTGTAGTTTACAATTTAGTGCTATGCTCAACAGCATCATCATTAACTCGCTGCGATGACCATGAAGCGCTCGTCTTCCTCTCCTTTTCCTCCCACCAGTCTTGATGAAGCTCCTCTTCGTCTTCCTCCCCTTTGGCCTCAGCTGGGATTCCAACAGTGACTTCACTTCGAGCGAAGTCGCCGTCAGTGGCCACAGGGTTGTCATAGCAACCTTCCTCTGAAAGCGAGGAGGAAGAGGAGGAGTTTGTGAGGTTAGTAGGTGTTGGAACAACATTGAAGGTGATGAAGCCAATGAGGATAACCACGAGGGAGACCAGGTAGAGCCCAGAGAACTGAGGCAGGACACAGAATGAAGATACATTTACAAACATGATGGATATCACCCGCCGCCGTTCATGCCAGAGTTTTCAATAAACTAAAATCAAACTAGGAAGAAATTACATTCTGCTTTTCGTTATAACAACAGCAGTTCTGAGATGCAAAGTTATGATTATGATATGCTGAATCATGTTTATGGTATGCTAAATAATAATTTTAAGAAGCTAAGTCATGTTTAAGAGATTCTTAGTCGTGATTAAGAGTCTTAATCATGATTAAGAGATGCTAAATAGTGATTATGAAATGCTAAGTCATGTTTAAGAGATGCTAAGTAATGATTAAGAGATTCTTAGTCGTGATTAAGAAATTCTTAGTTGTGAATAAGAGATGCTAAATTGTGATTATGAAATGCTAAGACATGATTAAGAAATGCTAAGTCATGGTTGCAATATGCTAAGTCATGTTCACGAGATGCTAAGTCATGTTTAATAGATGCTAAGTCGTGATTAGGAGATGCTAATTTATGATTAGGAGATGCTAAGTCATGATTAAGAGATGCTAAGTCATGATTAAGAAATACTAAGTCATGTTTAAGAGATGCTAAGTCATGATTGTGATACGCTAAGTCATGTTTAAGAGATGCTAAGTCGTGATTATGAGATGCTAAGTTATGATTCAGAGATGCTAAGTCACGATTAAGAGATTCTTAGTCATGATTAAGAGATGTTTAGTCGTGATTAAGGGATGCTAAGTCATGATTAAGAGATTCTTTGTCATGATTAAGAGAATATTAGTCATGATTAAGAGAAACTTAGTCATGATTAAGAGATGCTAAGTCATGATTAGGAGATGCTAAGTCATGATTAAGAGATGCTTAGTCATGATTAAGGGATGCTAAGTCATGATTAAGAGATTCTTAGTCTTGATTTAGAGAAGCTAAGTCATGATTGCGATATGATTAGTCTTGTGATAATTCTGTATTTCATACATTAATTCTGACTTATTGGACATTTTGTTCTTCAGAATTGTGGAAATGGACTTCCACTTGCTTTACATAGAAAAATAATAATATAAAAAAACACCCAGACTCTGTGCACATCCTTACATTGTAATGGAAAAGGAAGATCCCGACGAAGAGGCTGAAGAGGTCTGATGTGAGCAGCGACAGGTTGACGGAGGTGGCGCTGCTCAGCTTCATCACCACCGGCATCCCGCTGTACAAAGCAAACATGCAGAGAGCGAACGCAGCAAACAGCAGCCCTGAGGGGAGACAAACGCCGCTCTTAGAAAAACTTTAATTTTACAGAAAAATGTTTCTTCGTCTACTTCACTAAAACACAGAAAACGATGTTTGTTCCTATCTATATTGACGTTTGGAGTCAGCCCTATTGAAGATGGCCGCCACCTTCAACGAACCGCGCCTTTCCTTCAAATACAAAAAGTCAAAGAAAGCATTTTTAAGAAAATTGGCATAGTACACATGATTTTACCCATTTTGTCACATAAGTGACCTATTTTCTTTTGAATTTGGCTCAGCCAAAGTGAAACAAGAAGTGACATCAAAGGGGAACTCTTAATAAAATAAACTTGCTGGTCTTTGTTAAAGCAAAAATATTTAAACTTTAACTCTTCTTCGTCTCTCTTTGATAGCGACTCAGAATAATCTAAAGAAACAGATTCTTTTCTACAGTCTGTGTTGTTAGCTTTTGTTACAACGCTCTGTTTTCATGCAGACATTCCCCTTTGACAGCACTTCCTGTTTCTTCACATGCAAATATCTCAACAACTGTTCATCTCAGCGACATGAAATTTGTTTTTCAATATGTTATCAATGTTCTCTTTCCAAATATGCATTCATGTTTATTAAAAAATTGGATGTCACAGGCACTTTAAAAACAAAAGTGGGTGTAACTCAGTCAATTTTACATATATTGAGCTGAAATTTGAGGTGGTAGTAGCTGAGAGTCATCCTCAACATGTGCTCTGAGTGTGACCTCTCATGAGTTCACACTCGTCTGTTGAGCTGTTGATAAAAATCAAAGCGTTCGTGTTTTCCTGATGTTTTCGTCACAGTTGGGGTGGGGCACTGACCAACTTGCCAGCTCCACTTGATGTTGGAAACCTCACTCCGTTCCAGGATCACCCTGAATAAATAAAACAATAAAACCAGACCTGATTAAAACACAACATTGAACCGATCGATGACGATGAGACCAATGTAAGCTTACATCTGTACGGCGCTGATGATGGTGCCGAACAGGCCGACCATCCCCAGGAACTCCACTCTGCTCAGGTTCTTCACCGTGTACTCCTGAGACACGTTGGACACGGCGTACAGCGTGGCGCTGAGCATCACCAAACCGTCACCCAACAAAATGTTCGACGCTGGAGAAAGAGGAAGAACAACGTTTAAGATTATGTAATAAAAAGAAAAACACTAAAGAACAAATAAATTAAAAATGAAATTAAAGAGATTCTTACTGGAGCCCTGGTCTCGTCCAGCCAGGAGGTCGGCGCCCACCATGGCCCCCACTCCGAGGAGGCAAACACAGACTGAAACGTAGTGGACCACCCTGTAGCGGGTCTTCAAAAACCACCAGGACAGAACCATCAGGACCGGGATCACAAAGCAGTCCAGCAGCTGGAGGATAGAGAAAACTGCAGGTTCATACTGAAGACGTGAAATCCATAAACAACCATCAAACATGACAAAACGTCACTCATCAGCATTACATCATGATAATGTGTAACTGTGACATGAAATGAGTGATATGCATTCATTTAAACTGCAGAAGAAATTTAAATAAACTAGATTAAAATAAAATTTGCCCTAGAAATAAATGAGTCATATTTTATGATTGCAAATAAAAGTCATAAAACCTGTAACCCCACCTGCACACTGGTCAGAGTGGTGTACTGGTACGCTTTGACCACAGTGTAGTTGGCCTCCACATCCACCAGCCCCAGCAGCAAGTACTTCCACCATCTTCTCCTGAGGATCTGTAAAATATTGCCATCCCCTGCGTTTTAAAGGGGAACACCCCTGAATTTCAGTACGGACAGCCGATCAATCACTGCTGCTGTATGTGACGTTCAGCTACCAGGAAGTGTTCAAATCACCAAACAAATGAGCCGAATAAATACAGAGGGCACTGAACTAATGTTTATCTTGGTTTTTATCATTTTGAAGAACTTTCAAATCACAAAAAAGAAAGAAAAAAACAACAACAACACGGAACAGTAAAAGTGTAATTTTGCATCAGTGTAAATACAGACAGTAAATAAAAGCTAAAATCACTAAAACTGTTAAAAAGCTAATAGTAACCAAAACTGTTGCTAAAAGATAAAATGAACAAACTTGTAGCCAAAAGCTACATTTAGGAAAATAGTGACCAAAAGAACAATTAGCAAAACATTAGCTATAGGAACTAAATGTAGCAAAATGATGGTCAAAAAAATAAAATGTGCAAATTTGAGATAAAAGCTAAAATTACACAAACTTTTTAGCTAAATGCTAAAATAAACATAATTGTAACTAAAAGCTAAAATATGACAAAACTGTAAATCACAAACTAAGTTTTATAAAACAGCTAAATTGTTAAATTCCAGTATCAGATAGCTAAATGAGGGAAAAAATAAAATGAAAAATAAAATGAACCATCTGTCACTAAATGCTAAAACTAACAAATTTGTAGCTAAAAGTTAAATTCTGTAAAATCAAATCTTAAAAGCTAAAAATACCGATCCATAAGCAAAAAGTTAAAAAGGTGGCAAAACTGTAATTAAAAGCTAATCTTTACAAAACCTAATATTAAAAATAAATAACAGCTAAATACAGTTAAAAGCTAAAGTTAGAAAACCAATAGAAAAAAAATGTAAAAATTAAACAGCTAAAAGCTAAGATTAGTAAGACATGAGCAGACAAAAATAGAACAAATACTGAAACAAATTTAGAGAGAAAAAAGTTTTTGAATATTTTGGAGAGATTTGAATGCAGTTAGGGGTTGTTTGTTTCTATTATTTTCTATTATTTGAAAAGTATTGTAGTTATAATAACTAAAAGATTTAGCACACTGATCAAGCTCAATGTTTTGATAAATTAAAAAAAAGTTAAAAAAAGTCAAAATTTGTGGAAGAAGTTTGATTTAAAAATCACATGTAGGTATAAACAACAAGAATGCTGAGTCAGCATTTCTAATAAGACACAAAGTCAGTCTGGGTGAAATGAGGAGAAAGATATAAACTCACCTTTTCTGCAGAGCAGCATGGTGGTGTAGGTGACACACAGCAGCATGTAGTTCAGGAGGCTCTGCAGCATGGGCGTGTTCACCTGGAAGTCTGAGGCCAGGTACTGGGAGGAGACGGCCGTCCCACAGATCAGAGCGGCCAGACACTGACCCATGGCCAGGGTCTTAGCCAGCTGCCTGAGAAAAACACAAACCAGACATATAAACAAATTCAATACACCAAATTGACCATGCTGCTTTGAAAAACTCCAAACATCTGGGTTAAATAAAAACTTTATATAATTTACAGCATTAAAACTGAGCACTAAATGATAAATCTGTTATCATGGTTACAATAAATGATATCTTAATTCCACGTCTTCACTCACCAGGTGAAAACATCCTTCGGGTTGAATTTCCTGATCCTCGTCAGAAATCCACAACTGTGCTCCTCAAAGCTCGTGTCCCTGCATGAATCCACAGGCTGTTTATCAGCCATGTTGCCTCATCTGTGGTGGAAAAACCTCACAGAACTGCAGCTATTTAAGGCTTTTAGCTCCTCGACTGTCACTGTGTCGATCCTGAATGATTAACTGTCTCAGAGGGCAAAGATCGCTTTTCTGTTTGTGCACCAGGCTTAAGATCTGCCAGAAGAAGTAACCAAGAAATGTTGCCTTTACTTTTTCACATTTTTACAATATTTTAATATATATA